GGGAGCGTGGGCACCTGCTGCCCGGCTGCCGGCCTCTGGGTGCCTCCGGCAGGAAGGCAGAGGCCAGGGCAGGGCCCGGCCCGCGGACATGTCATGAGGTAGAAAATGGGAAAGTGTCACGTTTTGCTGATAGGGTCAGTCAGAAAGAAACTGACTGACGGCACAACTCCTGCTATGTTTCCGGGGTACTCCAGAAGGCACCTAAAACCCACTTGGTATGCCCCAAAATTTAGATCCCCAAAGAAGAAAGCTCTCCAATGATCCATGCGACAACTTTACCCAGGCAACAAAAAAAAGCCCAACAATTTTCTCACTCTTGTACCTTCAAAGCATTCAAATCTTGAGCAGGGGAAATCAAATTGCAAGGGTGCACAACAGGGCAATTAATTTCCCTTGGCCTCAGCCTTTGGTACTGCCTCGTGCGAGGTGAACGATGCGAAGGCTCGTCCACCGAGCAGCGGGCTAATACATTCATTTTCCACCATCGGCCACAGGACAGCCAATGTTTTGGTCTCTGTCGCACCACACATCATGAGGACCCGAGTCCAGAGGTTTTATATCGTACCACCAACCTACACAGTCCTGTAACTTTGTAAAGGTATCCTGCTGGATGATCAGAGAAGTGTCCTGAGAGTTTTTTTCTGCTAAACTCCTGCACTCTGAAGGCCGTCCTTTGCCTTTCATAGCGCACACTAACACCAAAATAAAGAAACTGTGTTAGTTCTGTTACTTAAGTTTTCTTACTCCTCATACTTCTGCAGTGTATATTTAGATTATTAGGTTGACTTACGTGTCCTTAAAATGCTCAGGGAAAATCTGAGGGTTCGTTTAAGTATTGCAGGCTCATGATCTGTGACAGGCATTTTAGAAAGTGTCAGAAAACTTCTCACTTGATAATAACTTACTGACAGTCAGGGGAGCGTTCCCTTTTCTAGTGCTAATAATCAGCATTAAGGCATGCCATGGTTCCTACAAGAAATCTGTGATCCTTACAGCTCTAGCTGTCATCTTTCTGCAATAATGGAATGTACTCCAATTTTATGCATGTGTATCATTAAAAAATAAAAATAATGGCTCTCAAAACCACCAGCCTCAGTTTCAGAGCTTCTGTGGCATAATGAGTACAGCAATTCCCATTAGGGGCCTAATGAAAGGGTTTTCATCCCCTGCGACGTCCATCCCCTGTCTCACACCGTTTCGCTGCCCCAGCTCAACATCATTTGCCCTCTTGCTTGGCACAGCTCTTCCTGGACCTATGGAGGCCATGGCCAGCCCCTTCCCTTCCTCGGAGCAAGGATGGGAGGCAGCACTGTCCCCACCGCCCCACCTCAGGGTGCCCTGAGCATCCCCAGGAGCTGTTTATCCCTACAGGCAGTGTCCACATACCCACCAGCAGGCAAAGGCCAGCTAAGGAGGAGCCTTCCTCCTCCGTGTCCTGCTTCTTGGGCTATTTTCCTTCCTCACACTCATCGATCACAACAGGCTGAAGGCTTCTCCTTCCATCTGGAAGCTATTCCATTTATTTACCCTAGAAATTCAATCCTAAATCCCTGATGACACATCCAGAGGGATGCAAGCTCTCCAAAGATGACTGTGGAGATGCTGGCCACTGTTGAGTTCCTGCCCGCGAACACATTCCATTATCATGACATGAACTGGCAAAATCATCTACTAGGCAGGAGTACCAGCTAGTAAGGCTGCTCATTTAATTACCAAGTAACACTGAACTGAAGCGGCAGTTAGAGCAGGTAACACCTGAAGAAGCATGTCTTTTGCAGGGTCAACATTAAAGCCTGGGTACCACATCATGCTATTTACAGTGACCAAAGGCAAGAACCTGGAGCAGCGCAGCTCCTCAAGCTCTCAATCGAAGGCACCTGCACCAGCACCTGCAGCCAGCAAGCAGGACAGACTGAACCAGGTGAGTGCTAAACTCAGATGCTGCATGTCTCCTGACATGAACCACCAGGGAAGAGGGAACAAAGAACCAGGTGGCAAAATAGCATTCAGTCTCTCCGCTTGAGGACCCCACGTTTCCACCTGCCACTTGTTCTTCTGAACCTTGTGCTGCCACATATTCCTGGGTAAAGGGGGCATAAAGGACATCTCCTCCCCCCTTCCCAAGGGAACTCTTCTCAGGTATATCACAGCAGGGAAAAAAGTGTAATTTAAAAAACATTTGATATTCCTCATATTCAAGACTTAACTCATGACTGACAGGGCTGTGACAGTGAACCACGTGTTTCTACAAAGACTCTGCAGTCAGGAACTGTACAGACAAGAGCTCTTCACCCATGTTTGGCTTTTGCAGGGACACATATATATATATTAACATACATATATATGTTAACAGGACATATATATATATATAAACCACTGTTCAGTAACAACTGATAGCGGTGCATACAACAATCTTTGTTGGTTTTCTCAGCACTGCAAGAACACACGTTTTTCTGTTCCACAGAAACTGGCTGATAATAAAGTAAATAGCAACATGTACCCTTGATCACCCCCTACGTTAAGTGAGCCCCATGTCAGTAAACCACCTGATATTTAACCTTTCTATTTCCTGACAATTTATTTTTCACAAATAAATTGTTTTTTATTGAACAAGCCCCAGAAAACTCCTTCCTGACCTTTCTTTGCTGGTTATGAGACAGCTGACAGCCTAGTGACATAAAACTGAAATTTCAAAAGGACTAGTAAGATGCAGACAGTCCCAGTATAAGCAAAGCCCTGCAGCTGAGCTTGAATTTCTTCTGGCACCCGTACTGAAGGAGAAGTGTTCAGTCTCAGCATCCCCACGCTTTTTCACTCTTTGGGTCTTCAGAGACTCCAAACAAGAGGTCAGTTAATTCAAGTTATGGCAGTTTTCATACAAAGACATCTGTCCACCAGGAACTAAACTTCTTTTATATGGGTCACTATAGCCATCAGAAGTTAATGACTGTCAATCATTGCTAATTTGAACTGAAATGGAGCCATTGACCTCAAGCTGAAAGAGCCTTTTGTCTCCCACCTATACTATGAGCCATATGGTTCCCTGCCCTTTGCCTCTTATTTTATATTTTAAATAAGCATCACTAATTGTACAATTGTTTGAAAATATGGGAGGTTTGTGGCAAGTCATGACCAAGTGGTGTTCTTTTTTCCCTTAGCTCACTCAATAGAAGAGAAGGGATCAGCTTAAAATTAAAGGACAAAAAAAGCACCTCTCAATTAAATATTAGCCCTGCTATTTGATTATTGGTCCTGCTTCTTAACAGTCTACCAAGTAGACTGTTAATAATCCTGCAGGTTGCAATAATTAACAGCTTCCAAGGTGTCAATGTTGTTCCTGTTCTATATGGGAGTAATAAGAAAATTATATAGGCAAGACACCAATAGAATGTTTTATGTTAGGACAAACAAGTATCTGAGGAACCTACTTATCACAAATCTCTTTTTATTCAGTGGTTTTCATTATTTTATATCAGTTGTATTTTCTCTGGCATGTTTTCCCTTTACAAGTGCTCATGTACTGCAAACATTCGATTATAGAGCTTAAGAAAAAACCATTCTCATCAGACAAATAAACTGCATCACCAGCTATCTTTAGCTGCATCTGTTTTCTTTAATGAAACATATTTTCCTGTAGAAATGCTGCCTTTAAAAATCATGACCACACTAATTATCTATGGCAAGCACATCTTCCTCAACTAATGACAGCTCGAGCATATTATCATTTGCACCAGACTTCATTCTGAAATTGAAAGACCCATAGAGCTTCGCAGACTCCTTGGACGATGCAAACCTGCTCCTCCGGTACAGTTCCCCTTTCCACATGGACATCATCAGTAGGCTGGAGAGCACCACTCCCCCCAGGGTTAAGAGACACAGCCCGGCGATAACACAGCGGTCCAAGTGAGCCCCGATCCTAGCGCTCTCGTCCCCCAGCCTCCCCATCCCCCGGGCCGCCACAGTATTGGGATCCACAGTCACATCTCTGGGTACCACGTAGGAAATTATCACCAGCAAAATGCCACTAACCAGGAACAAAATGGCACTAATGAACCCGTAGTCCACGGATTTCCCGGACGCCACCTCCGAGGCAGCGTCATCCTCCTCGGAGACCAGGGAAGGAGAATCGTGCACCCACTCGGGTGGCAGCTCCCTGCAGGAGCGCTGCTGCAGAGGGGCATCCCGGCAGCGGCTGCCTGTGGGACTGGGGGGACTTCTTGCATGCTCCAGGTTTACATTTTCATCCACGTAGATGAATGACGTCTCGAGTTCCTGGGCACAGCAGCAGGCTTTCTTCTTCCCTCCGTCCTCTTCCCCAGGCAGGTGCTCGGGCAGGTGGCAGGGCTGGGAGCTGCCGAAGGGTGCAGGGTGCTCCTGGGGCGAAGTGCCCTGGGGGGAGAGCTGGGGTGCCAGGGGGGGCTCAGTCACAGGGCCCCTCTGCAAGGGCTTGCAGTGCCTTTCACAGCGCAGGGCTGATCTGGGGTCCCCCTCACGCCGCTGCGGCTCGTAGGGAGGGGAGGGCAGGCTCCAGCTGGTAGCGGTGCCCAGTGGCGCCTGCCTGCTCTCCTCAGCCAAGTAGAGAAGCTCCATGCAAGCCATCGGCCTCGTCCCGGCGAGCCCCGGCTCCCGGGCTACCACATCCTTCAGTGAACGCTGCCCCTGACCCGCTGAAGCAGCTTCTCGGTACCGGGGCTGCCGTATCCCAGAAATCTTCTACTCTTTCACCAATGTTTCGTTAGGGACGTGGCTTGTGTCAGCTGTTAAATGATTAAACAAATCCTCTCTGACATTCATTTCTTTTCGGTCTGCAAATGAAATAGCAGAGGGGAAAAAAAAAACAAAAACAACAAAACCAAACCCGACAACCTCGTGATGATACATTAATAAACCAAAGAGAAGATAAGGCAAATGTAATACTTCAGGCTTCCTCTCAACTGTTCGAGGGGAGATGGCAAACACGATTGTTTTAACTACGCATTTAACACTGCAATCCTCTTGCAGATCCAAAATCTATTAGGGAGTCTAATCAACCTTTGACACCAATATCCAATTAAGGCCCTAAATCATCCAGAGAGCACCGGATAACCAGAATAACTGTGTAAAATGTCAGAGAAGAAGAGTCGTCTGTTCTTTTAGAAGCAAGTAACTCCCCCACCCCCTTCCAAATAAAGAATTTTAAACTCAGACTCACAGACTAATTAGAAAGAAGCACGCAAATCCCATGTAGCTCGGTAATCCAGGATCTGCATTCTCTGGTGGAAATCTGATAATCCTATGGGAAAAGCAGTGCTTTCCTATAGCAGATCTCCAGTTTGATTAAGAGCTTTCGGAATGAAATTATGCCTCAAAGACTGGTGACTCAAAGACGGATATTACTTCTCATCTGCAATTAATTCGTTATTACCCCCTTCTTCTGCGCCCCACCCCCTCGAGGCCGAGTGCCCGGTGTCATGAGGAAAAGCCTGCAGCCCAGTAAATGTGTTGCATGCGTAGAAAACACATGTGCGCCTATAGCATATATGTGACCGGTAACAGACGCTACTCACTCACGCTCTTCTCGGGACCTCGGCGGGAACCGGCCACGCTAGGAAACGCGATCCCCGCCAGCGCGGGGAGTAGCTGGATCCACACGCAACTGTGTGACCCGAGCGGCACGGAGGTTACAGGCGCGCAGACACGCACCGACACCCACGCACACCCTGGCAGCAAGAGCACGCCACCGCCTCCGCCGCC